ACTAATGAGAGGCATTATGTACAAATATGTAAGTAGTTTATTTTTAATTGCAAAAAAAACTATGTAACAGCCCCCAAAAAATCCTATGAAAAATTCTTAACAGGCATTATTACCCTATCTTATTAGTGTGACTAGCGTGACAGTACTCAGATAAATCATTTGGAGGTTTGCCACGCCTTAGCTTCTTTCCTTATTGTCATTATTATAGTTGATACTTTGCCTCCAAATCCGAGGTGCTATATAGCTTTTGCTATTGGTATATTTGGTGTTTGAGGTAGAGTTGCAGAAGAAGGGAGTTTATTCCCATCCAGAAGTCCCAAGTTCCCTGGCTCTATGAATTTTCCACTTAGGGAGGAAACAGGCTTTTCCCCGTGTGTGTTCTTATACAGCTGGTACCTGTTTTAAGTGCCCAGCTTCGTGGTTGCTGGGCTTGTATTTTACCAGCCAGTTCCAGATTTCATAGAGAGTGGATGTGGTAGACTTGAACAAATACCAAGTGAACTAAAAATCTCATGAGTTATCTACTTCAAACCCTTAGAAGGAAGAACTTAGTCTCAAGAGTTGGAAAACTAGGATTTGGGGCTTGGGAGTAGAGATTGACTTCCTCTGAGAGGCAGAATGGTTATGGTCTTCCCAAATAAGCCTCTTATAACCATGATGTAAGATGAAGCTAAAAAACAGAAGCCAGAGATCACAAACTCATATCTAGAGTAATTCAACAAAACTTATAAAGATGTATGAAATTTAGGAATTGATAAGGGTCCTTATTTTTGTTAATATCAACTAGAGGCACTTTACGTAGGGTTAAGTGGTCATACTCATTAGTGGTTTTGAACACCAACATACTGACTTACACACTGCTGGAATATTTTGGGTTTCATTATTTTGCACTGGATCCACCCTGTAAATATCCTTAAATATACATTTCAACCACTGTTTTTCTACTTTTTGCTGCTCATTAAAATCTTTCATATAGGTACCAGAACCATATGTAAACAGCTTCTTAAAAAATTGAAGCTGGTGGGGTTTTTTTTAAAACAAAAAGCCATAGAACTTGATCATGTTTTCCATTTTAAAATGATTTATTGAAACAAGGTAATACTAATAAAAACCCACAGGCACCAAATAGGTTGCTTAAAATGATCTGTTAAAGACTTTTTTGTAATGGATATAACTAAGTTTTGCACATCTGTAAGTTAAAGGGAAAACAGCATGTCACCATAGGATACCCAATTAGGATTCATCTAAGGACTCATGTAAGTTGGGAAAGAGCATTCAGTGGCATGCTGTATAAAAAGAACTAGTGTCTGAGAAGCTCCTTGCAGTGTCATGTTGCAGGAATTTCCCTTTGCTCTGCAACTTCCAAACCAGTTTGAGTCATACAAATGTTTTCTAAACTTTTATTGTATTGCTGCAATAAATCTTTTAACAGTACTTTGCTAATATGTCTTTTTCAAACTGATTCATTTCCACTGCTACATTGAGGGTAGTTAAGAATGAGATCCAGGACTGTAGTATTTTGAACAAATTATAGAATACTTTAAGAATTTTTTGGCCAGGTAAGAAAAAAATGCCCAATACATTTTTTAAATTGTAGATCATGGTGGTATTAATCATAATGGTCCACCTTCAGCAAGCTGGGAAGCCGGTTGCTTACCAGTTACATACTTTCTCTAAAGATGTGTTTTTCTTTGGTAGCCAGCATATGATGCATGTGACCTACCTACCGTGGCTTCCCTGGGGAAGGAGTGGGCCTCTAGGAACCTGCCCAGACTTTCTTCGGGACAAGACAGAAAGGGAAATGTTAGAAGGGGACCTCTTCTAGATGGGCCCCCTACCCATCTAACCTTTCAGGTTAGATTACTGTGGAAAAGGGCCACCTGCAGGTGGAGGGGGATACCAAGAGTGACTGACTACTGTGGAACAGCTGGGCCAGCTAGGAGAAATACCAAGGAACTATTGCCAGAGTTGCCCTACCCCTTGACCTGGAGTAGGCCAGCCAGCAAAAGGAGGAAATGGGCAAAGAAATGGAAGAGTTCTCAAATAGTGTGCTTGGGTGTTGCTACCTGCCTTGGGTTGAATGTCCCCCTCAAACTTAATTCCCACTGTAACTGCTGAGGGTGAGAGATCCTATTATGGTAATTGAAAGGTGGAGCCCTGAAGAGGGAATTAGATTCTGAGGACCATGCTGTAGTGAATGGATTAATGGTGGTGGTCAGGGGCCTAGTTCTGAGGGCTTTAAAAGGAGAGTGCATGAGAAGTTTTCTCTCTGCTCAACCATTTTCTGCCACGAGACCCCTGCATTGCTGTAAAGCCACCACCAAAGAGGACCCTCACTAGATGGACTTCGGACTTCCCAGCCCCTCAAACTGTAAGCAATAAATTTCATTTTCTTACAAAGTACCCAGTGTTCCAGGTATTTTGTTATAAGCAACAGAAATGGACTAAGACACTGTCCTTTCTAGGTAACAGTTAAGAGCATGCTCCCACCTAGTGTATAAAGGGAGATTCCCTGTGCCCAGAGTTACATCAGGGTTGATGCAAGAATCAGATTGATGCAGATGGGAAGAACTTTGTCATTAGTGGCTGAGGAAGTCATTCGGAAGTTGCTTTAAGATGACGTACCAGGAAATCTGAAACTGGGTTCTTGGGCAAGCCATCTGTGCCTCAGCTGTGAAATGCTCAGTGAGGAAAACCACCACCAGCAACACCCCATTTCAAAGATCTGGTGAGAAAATACTCTGGGAAAAGGTTCACAGTCTGCTTAGAGTTTATATAGATGAAGCAGTTTGTTTTCTTTTGTTTTTTTTAACTAGAAACCACCAGTGTGACAATTTTTCCTCAGAGAGGATGGTAAAACAGCAAGAGCCACATCAGTGACATTTTTGTTTGTGCCTTTTGGGGGCGGGGGGGGAGAGAAGCAGATCTGAAAGTGGGCTAGAGCCAGTTGTTTGAAAAAACCTCAGAGGCATATCCTATGGCTGAGGTATTAATACCTCCATATCCATATCAGATTGTTCCTAATCTCCTTCCACCCCTTTGGGTGTGGCTTTTTTTTTTTTTTTTTTTTTTAAAGCACTGTTTTTATGACTTCAGAAGACACCTGGATTTTAAAGAAAGAGCTTTCTTACCCTTTCCAGCAGCTTATTCCCC